GATTCGGCGTATGCCAGCTCACATTATCCGCGGTTTCCAGTCTTTTTGTGGTTTTAAACGTTCAAATATGTGAAATGATGTTGGTGCCATGCATAATGGTGGGAGTCAAGGTCACGTGAAGGTCAAGTCAAGGTCAGTGACCTTTTGATGACCTTGGTTCACTTTTTCGAGTTTTACTTGTTTCTAGGGTAGTTTTTGGTGCTGATTTCGATTTTAGCAGCCATTTGAATATTTACGAAGTAGTTCTGGTGCCTTCGTTCCATGTTACGAAGCTATCAGTAGTAGCTGTGACACTTCTATGGATGGCCGGCAGGACGCCTACTAGTTGATCTAACCTGACCTGACCCGACCTGGCCTAAATGCATAAAGACATCGTCTGTGATCAAAACTAACATGAAATTCGTGATCAGCACCCCAAAATACCCCGTAACACCATAACTTTGCGAAGTTTCAAGAGGTCTCGATTTCCCAACTTTAGTTGGGTCATTAAACTGACTTGGAAAGTCAGCTTATGACCTTGGACTTTGAAATTGGATATATTCGGCCTCATTTCGTCATAGGCAGCACGCTTGACTTTTCCGCGAAGCTCTAGCTTGATCAGGGGCCAAACGGCTGAGCGGGGGGTCCAATTGAACCCCCTATACTATGTTGATTATGCACATTTACAAGTAAAATTCTCACCAGGACACACCAGCCAACATCTGTGCACAATCTGGCTACAATTCTACCTATGGTTTGCCCTCTACGAATAAATACGTGCTAGATCGGAAAAATCCCCACTGTGCACTGAACCGGAAAATGGCAACTTTAACCCCTCGTTGCTATCGTCGTCGTGCGTCGAATGCTATCCTTGGTGTTCGGGTGAAGTCAACTTAACCTTCGCCCCATTGGGGGGGGGGGCATATGTTACCACCCTGTCGCGTTTTTTCCGTGTGAATAAAAAACCGCGGCGCGTAGCGCCGCGCCGCTTGGAGTAGCTTTTTGTACATCAATTTTGGACAATGTCTGAAATTTTTGACCCCAGGTCATGTCAGGTCAGGTCACCAGGTCAAGTTAAATGACAAAGCCTAAAAAAGTTTGCAATCATGTCCAGCCTGCAGTGTTTGTCAGAAAGATTTTAAACTTGGTGGATTGCATGATGTTATTGGCGCCTACAATTTGTATATCTCGGATTTTTTTATATCCGTGACCTAAGGTCAGGTCAGTGGCGTGACCTTACCATTATAAGTCAATGGAGAAAAATGAAAATGCCTCTAGATCCGTGCGTACGCATAGGAACAGTCCAAACATTTCAGAATCACAATGATTTGGACCACCCGTGACGACCAAGGTGTCGTTTTTGCTGATAGCCTCTAGAAAGGTCATCCGAGGTCATTTGAGGCTCTCAGGCTACAAACATATTTTTGCCAATAACTCTCGATTGGAAAGAGATAGGACGCTGGGGATGGTCTCATTGTGTTTGTCTTGTTGAGACGCATCGAATGATATGCAACATGACCTTTTCCGGCCAGGTCATGACCTTGAGCTGAGGTCAAATTTTCAAGTTGACCTTTCAAGGTCAAATTATAGTTCATTCGACGCGTCTCGGCGAGAGGAACACGATTCTGGCAATAGAAACGTTGTGGCTTTTTATTTAGTCAAAAGTTATTGTCGAAAAACACATTTCGTAAGAACAGCTATTTTTGGAGTTTTTGCCCTCCGGTGGCTAAACCGTTGACCTAAGGTCAATTTTGATAATGACCTTATCAAAAGAAGAGTTCAAAAGCTATCGATTGCTTTTCGATGCGTTTTTCTAGCTATCGTATTTTCTGAGATAAATGCATGTTTTCTGAGAAATATAATGGCATTTGGCAAATTTTGACCTTGATGACCTCCAGTGACCCCAATATTGCTCTAAGATGAAAAATGACCGAAATACTTTCAAACGTACGCATTGAGAGCTATCGACTGCTTTTGACCGCGTCTTTCTAGCCCTCTTCTTTTTTTTTTGTTAGAGGTGGGTGGTAACATATGCCCCCTTCCCCCCACTAGGGCGAAGTTGGCTGAGACCGCCACTGGGGCGCGGGTTAAGGTGTTTACCTCGGGTCAAGGTCAGGTCGGAGCCCCTCAGGTCACGAAAATGGTTGAAGGAGGTCATATCGCATATCATTCGATTCGGCAGGTCTTCCCGAGTCCAATGGTGGCTTTCCAGACTCTCTAGCTCCATCTGATAAGGAGTTATTGACGAAAAACTTATATGGCCTTAGTGACGTCATAAATGACGTCACGCAAAGTCAACAATGCTAAAGTGAAGCACCAGACCTTGCAAGGAGTGCATGAAACCATTACCGGTGCCCGAATAGCAGCTCCCAATTTCCCTTGTTGACTTAAAGTGGTGTTAGATCCTGTATTATACTCAATTATGACGTCATAACTTAACAGATTCACGTCATATATTTAGTGCTTGACATCCAAATGATAGCTTACATATGACAGAGAAGGTATGCAAAGCTTTATGAAGTTTGCTTCACTAGTTGTGGAATAACAAGCAAAAAACTTTTGCGGAAAGGCCGCTGGTCTCTCGCTGGAGCGTTTCCGAGCAACGTGCGGCGCGGGTTAAGCTCAGGTTACCAGGTCACTTCAAGTGACCTTACCTCCTAAAATGTTTCAATGCCTGTCATAGCTATACCAAGTGACTAGATATTGCAATCCCGGAACGTTTTGCCAATCCCGGGATCCCGAAAGTTTTTATTTCGGGATCCCGGGATCCCGGGATTCCTGTTTTGTCACAAAACGTCGTAAGAATGATTTCCTACTGACAGATTTTGCGTCTTTTAGCTTACCACAAACAAAGGGGCAACCAAAAGCCATCCTTAGCCCATGTCCTTTGCGTTAAAAACGATTGAATTTGTAAAGAAAGCGTTTCAATTTGACTGGCATTTATTCCCAACTGGCCTTGATGAACTATGCGTCGACCAGTGCGTTTGCTGTCTCGTCATTGAGACGGGTTCCGAGTTCCGACACCTATACGCCTCATTCACTCTGCGTCTACGCTAGTTGGCATGACAGTTTTAAGCCATTGCTGGTAGGTCTGTCTATCGTAAAACTCGCGACTAGTGTACGCCAAATTTGGCAGCTCCCTATTTCACACTATTTTCAGGACGTCGCTTGGTCACTTCACCTCTTCCTGGTTCCGCTTTTATCACTAATTTCTCTCAGACTATGCTCCATAGTCGCTTTGAGGGCAGAGTCACTGACTGGGAGAGCTCCACTCTGCCGTCTTCAACGTCTGAATCAGTGAGCTCTGCCGTCACTTGCGTGACATCTACGACATCTTTCTGCGACACGATCTCAACGACTGCCTTGATGACCTCTTTTCTTCCGGCCACGGACGGACAAGTCGGAATCGCTGAACGATCCGTGATCCTGATGGAGATGCTGCAGCACTGATGCTGCAATTTTTTGACGTTCTGGTGCGTGGACCCTTTTTCGTACGTATTTAAGCAGCTTAACAGCTGTGGGTGATCCCGGGAGCTACCCACACGGTCGATTGTGGACGGCCGAGACGGGGTGCCAGCTAGTTTCTCTGCTTTATGTCACCCAGTACTATTAACAGTTTGAACATGACTGGTGCAGCGGCTGCATTCCTTTTTTGGTGAAAAACTTTTTTTTATCCCGGGATTGGCGAAATTTCGGGATCGGGATCGGGATTGAAATCCCGCCGGGATCCCGGGATCCCGATCCCGGGATTGCAATCTCTACAAGTGACTAATTAATTTGAAACTTTCAGCGATTGATAAATGTAACAATATTTACAAAATGTATCTCTCGAAATTTCTATATACCTATATAACCTAGAAGTCAGGTCAATTTTTCGAGCTCTCCATTATGAGTCAATTGGAGAAAATTGAAAAGCGCCACTTTTAGACCAACGTCATTCAAAACATTTTTCAAACGCTGCAGTACGAGTAAACATGACACGCTCAACCGGAACATGGAACCCGTGACCCCTCGTTATGTCACCGAGGTAATCTCAGTTCACGAATGGTATCTAACGGTTTTCGCTAATTTGTGATAGAGGCAAGCTAGAGCGACGAAAGCGCTTTAGATGTGTTTGACTCGACGATACGGACCGACTGATATGCAACATGATCTTTTCCGGTCAGGTCATGACCTTGATCTGAGGTCAAATTTAAAAGTTGACCTGTCAAGATCAAATTATAGTTCATTCGACACGGCTCGCCCAGAGGAACACGATGCTGGCAAAAGTATTGTCGTGTGTCTCTTGAGTCATAAGCTATTGGAGAAAAACATCTTTCCATAAAAGCGGTTTTTTAGTTTTTGTCCTCTAGAGGCTAAACCGTTGACCTGAGGTGAAATCTGAGAACAACAGTCAGAAAGGCCTGTAGAAGAGCTATTGATTGCGCTTTTCTGCGACGCTGTAGCTCTATTGGTTTCCGAGTTGTTTGTCGGATGTTTTGAAAAATGTTGAAATAGCAAAATTTGACCTTTGATAACCTCTGGTGACCTGACCTTTGGCCTGAACTAAAAAATGAATTACGTATTTTCGTCATGTTTTTTACGTTCCTTCCAATGTCGCTTAACCCGTGTCGCTACGTGGCCCAGGGCCGAGTTAGAGGGGGGAGTGTACAAACACCCCCACCCCTACAGGGCGTGGAAATCCAGGACCCCCAGCGGTGGACGGGTTAAAAGTACAAAACATAAATTTGGTCCTGTCCCATCAAGGACATTTTCTCTTTCGAATGACGTACAATGGGAGCCGTTTTGATAGCTAGAATTGCTAGAAATAATTGATTTTCCAGCGTACGTCGGTTGTACCCGGAGGGCATCTCGTTTTCAAGATTTATGCCCCCTATCCCCCAATACGATTCCCCGCGTTTTGTACAAAGGTAGATGTGATAGTGTCGGCTGTCGCACCCACAAACACATTTTCAGCGAAATCGCAGGGACCCTACTGAATCCCCGCTCAATCCCCCTGCTAACCTCCGTTACTTCCATAGCCATCGGCGACTAGTGACGTCGGAGCATTGGTGGAGGCAATGCGGATAGCGAATGTGAAGACGCACACACTTCAGCGGGGCCTCAGCGAGGAGCAGCTGGAGACGGCACTCCGGGGCCTGGAGGCCTACCGTGCTTTGGAGGAGCTGGTGCTGTCAGTGCCTCTTGACTCGACGGGACGATGGCTGAGGCTCCTGCCGCCGTCATTGCGAACGCTGCACGTCTTCGGTGAGATACCTTTTGTGGGCGAACCAAGTAATAGCCGTTTTCACGACGGGCTATCCGGCGAATGCACCTGATTTGACCAAATCTGCACCTAATTTCTTTTACAGCAAATATCTTCATTTTATGAATTTATTTCAGTGTTTTAATCGATGATGCTCTCTGATGATATGACAAAGCAGGCATATAAGCAATTAGTGCAACCCTAGCTGATGGCTACTAAGAGACACACTGAACCTAATTTGACCAAATCTGCACCAGTGATCTGTACCAGATGTGCACCAAATGTGTACCAGATGGCCGTCGCGAAAACGGCTAATATCACTTCTGACTGGGGGAAACAGAGTAGAGCATTACAAATGCGGATTTGCGTATGGTTAGCCCTCGCCGGCTGAGAGGGGGAGGGCGGGTGCCGCCCCCTTCCCCCCCCCTAACTCTTCAGTTTTTTTTCGCGATAGGTGCAAACCCGCCAGAGATAGAGAGCTGAAACTTGGCATACCTGACCTTTGATTCAAGCCAGATGTGTTGACATCAACCGCATTTTCGGTTCAGATCATGTCATAAGTGAACTTCTGCACGGTCTTCACATGTCGCAAGTTCGCAACGCCCTCAATGCCAGAAGAGGGTTCACAGGGAAATGAAACTTATAGGATTTAGTATTCATTAGGAGTCTCGCAACTTGTATATCTCGGATTTTTCCTAAAGGTGATATGAGGTCAGGCCGTTTTCGTGACGTCACCATTATAAGTAAATGGGGAAAAATGAAAACTGCCATTCTAGCGCCGGGAACGATCTCCAACTATCTCAAGCACACAAAATCGTGATTTCATGCACTCCTTGCAAGGTTCGATAACTCACTTTTGCAATGCTGACCTTGCGTGACGTCATTTATGACGTCATTAGGGTCATAATAGTTTTTCGTCAATAACTCCCGATCAAATTGAGCTAGCCAGCCGGGAAAGCCACCAATGGACTCAGGAAGACCTGCCGAATCAATGATATGCGACATGACCTCTTTCGACCAATTTCGTGACCTGGGGGTGCTGACCTGACCGCGACCCGAGTTTAACCCGCGCCGTGCTGGGGGGGGGGCGTTTTTACGCCCCCCCCTTCAGGTTTTTCGCGAATATCTCAAAAACGGCGGCGAGCAGCGCCGCTGTTTTTGGTACACGTGTTTCTACATCATTTCCGCACATGTTGTGAAAATTTCAGACCTGGGCCGTTCAAGGTCAGGTCACCAGGTCACGTCAAGTGACCTTACCTCAGAAAAAGTTCAAAGGCTCGCTATAGCTACACCGACTGAACGATCACTTTGAAACTTTCAGCGATTGATATGAGTAACAGTATCTATAAAATGTATATATCGGTTTTTTTTATATCTGTGGCCTAAGGTCAGGTCAATTTTGCGACCTCTCCATTATAAGTCAATGGGAGAAAATTGAAATGTGCCTCTTTTGGACGAATGTCGTTCAAAACGCTCACAAACATCGGTTCATAGGTGAACATGACACACTGAATCGGAAAAATGCACCTGTGACCCTTCTGTATGCCCCTGAGGTCATCTCAGGTCATGGAACGGTCGCCAGCAGTTTTTTGGCTATAACTTTTGATAGAGACGTGCTAGAGCAGTGAAAACACGTCAGATGTGTTCAGATCGACGATACGGATCGACTGATATGCAACATGACCATTTTCGGTCAGGTCATGACCTTGACCTGAGGTCAAATTTTCAAAATGACCTTTCAAGGTCAACAAATAGTTCATTCGAAGCGTCTCGACGAGAGGAACACGATGCTGGCAAAAGTAATGTCGTGGCTCTCTTGAGTCAAAAGTTATTGCCGAAAAACAGTTTTCGTGAAAACGGCTATTTTTACAGTTTTTGCCCTCTGGAGGCTAAACCGTTGACCTGAGGTCAAATCTGAGAACACTCTACATAAATGGCGGTAAAAGGGCTATCGAATGCGCTTTTCCGCGGCGCTGTAGCTCTATTGGTTCCCGAGTTGGCCGTTGGCAGTTTCCAAAATTATCGAAATGGACTAAATTTGACCTTCGATGACCTCTGGTGACCTGACCTTTGACCTGACCTTAAAAATGACCGAAGTGTTTTCTTCCTTATTTTTGACGCTCTTTCGATTGCCGCTTACCGCGTGTCGCTACGTGGCCCAGGAGCCGAGTTAGACGGGGGGGGCGTGAAAACGCCCCCCCCCCCCCCAGCACTCGGCGGAAAGTTCAGGCCACCAGCACGGCGCGGGTTAACACCCTAAGTTGACCTAACCCAAACAAAAAGTAGGGTAAGGGCGGGTAAGAGGACGCAGGCGACAAGAGTACGCAGCAGCTGTTTCGGTTGCTTAGCAACGCCTCATCAGCGTCATCTCGAGTCCTAAGGAAGCTGTCTCTCACGCGGCTTCGATGGTGGAAGGTGGGCGCGCTACGGGTTCACTTGTCTTTTTTAGAGGCTTAGACGTGTTTTTCACATCGCTTTTAGACTTTTTGGGGTGCAGGAAAAGGTGTGACCTTCCTCAGGGAGCGGCAATATAATTTTCATTTTTTCCTATCAAGATACCACGGGGAATCTGGTGTGTGTCAAGTCCCAATTGTTTACGCGACGACTGTGGCGCCAGCTCTCAGCCCGCTTTGTGTCTACCGTATGTGTCGGCCATGAGTACGCATTGCCGTGGCGGACAAGAGTACGCAGTTTTCCGAGTGCGTGGTTGTGTTGCATTAATCAACTTAGTGCATCAGGCGCGCAACCCCTCAGCAGATTCACGGGATTGGCCAACAAGGTGGATGACACTCGGGGGGACGCCGAGCACTGAGCAGTTGGGGAAACCACGAAGAGCATCACTGTTTCTGGTAGACCAGGGGGCATTTGCACGACCACAGCGGGGCGCCTCGACTCTGTTAAGAGTGGCCGTTTTAGTGGCTGCGGCAATAAAGATAACAATAGTTTAACCCTCGCCCGCACATGCCATTTTCCCATCCTAGAACGCACATGGGGGGGAGGGGTGGTTGCCACCCCCCGCGCCATTTCGTTCCTGTTGGAGATAGAGCTTAGCGGTAAAGACCAAAAAGATTCTTTGGGAAGAGACGAATCCAATGATACCCAGTTTTACCTTCTCAGGTCAGTCATTGACCTTCCAGGTCAGGTCAAACTAAAAAATGTTGCTGTTTTGGGTCACCGTTGGATATCAAGTGCGCTGCTTATCATATACCGATAACGATGCCGTTTTCTGGTGCCAAGCCACCTAGAACCTCTTTCTCACACTACCCGACCAGGTTTTTGCTGCTGAGGTCATTTCAGGTCAAGTTAGGTCAAGGTCAATTATATGTGTTTGTATGTCTGTGTGTGTCTGTGTGTATACTGATGTGTGCACCGATTGTTTATGTGTCCATATTGCATGAAATCATGATCTGAGAAGCTTTTACCAAAAATGCAGTCAAAAAACTTCACAAAAAGTAAATTCCGCTTGCCTAAAACGCAATTATCTTAGATGACCTAGGTTGACCTTGACCTTGACCTTGACATCTGTACATCGTCGAACAACATGTTCCATGATGGGTGGGAGGTAAGACTGGTAAAAAAGGCCGAAATCAAGGTGTCAAAAGCTCACAAGGCCCATAGCCAACGCAAGATGTCGAGAATTGGCCATTTGGGTCATGACATAGCCTGAAAAACAAGGTCATATCTCCGAAACCAAAGGTCACAGAAACTTGAAATTTTCAGTGGACATCAAGAAAGGATAGAGGAGCAGCTATACAAAAAATCAGCCTTCTAGCTCTAAAAATGTTGAGTGCAGAGCAGAAAGACTACCTGGGGGGTGGCAACCCCCCCCCCCATGTGCGGGCGAGGGTTAATTACTTGCATGAATGCATTGATTCCAGCGAGTAGGAATGCATACACGTAGTGCGTACTCCACCCGCACGAAGTGCGTACTCTTGTACTGCCTATCAGGCAAGAGTACGCAAATGCAGGGTGTTAGAAAATTGCTTACGGTCACGCTTACGGTCATTGGACGTAGGCCGCTGTGGTCATAACAGTTTGTGGACAAATGATCAGGCTTTATCGAAATATACTGATCGTAGCCGTAAACCAAAACCGAACGGCGTGAGACGACAAAATGCATTAGGTGCGTACTCTTGTACGGTCCTCCCCTATATCATTCGACGCGCTTGAGCGAGACAAACACGATGCTGCCAAAGTCGCGACTCTATGGCCGTTTTTTACGAAGTTATGCACCATAAACGGAGCCGTACCTTAACCCTCGCCGGACCTATTGGTTTTCTACATACGCGCCGGCCGAAGGGGGGGGGGGGCGGGTACGACCCCCCCCCTCGCCGTTTCGCCCCTGGTGGAGCTAGCGCGTCGCGGAAAAAACGAGCGTGTGCGCCGTTTCAAGACGCAGAGATTGATACCCGGTTTTAAGGTCCTAGGTCAACCGGTGACCTCTGAGGTCAGGTCAAGTGCCCCAAGGTACGGTTCGGTTTTTGGTGAATAACTTCGCAAAAAACGGCCGCAGAGCCGCGATTTTGGCAGCATCGTGTTCGCCTTGCTCAGGCGCGTCGAATGATATACTTTTTGTTTGGGTGGGGTCAACTTAGGGTGTTGACCTCAGGTCACGGTCAGGTCAGCGCCCCCAGGTCACGGAGTTGGTCGAAGGAGGTCATATCGCATATCATTCGATTCGGCAGGTCTTCCTGAGTCGATTGGTGGCTTTCCCGACTTGCTAGCTCAATTTGATCGGAAGTTATTGACGAAAAACTAATATGACCCTAATGACGTCATAAATGACGTCACGCAAGGTCAACATTGCAAAAGTGACGCATGGGACCTTGCAAGGAGTGCATGAAATCACGATTCTGTGTGGTTGAGATAGTTGGAGATCGTTCCCGGCGCCAGAATAGCAGTTTTCGTTTTTCCCCATTGACTTATAATGGTGAGGTCACGAAAATGACCTGACCTCATATGACCTTTAGGAAAAATCCGAGATATACAAGTTGTGGGACTC